AGAAAAGAAATAAAAAAATTTATACAGTTTCTGAAAAAAGAAAAATAAAACAGAATTCATATTCAACGCAACTGATGTGCAAGTGAAGTTCTGCATGAAACGCTGAAACCGACAAATCAATATCATCCGTCAAATAAATCGATAGAATAAATAATCCATTGACCAAACAACCGATTACTAAATTTACTATCACCTTTGCACAGATATATGTATAGTAGATTTGTTCTGTTGTGCAATTTCATAAATTGTTACAGGTGATAATTTAGGATTATTATTATTATCATTACTATTATTATTGTTAGTAGTATTAGTAGTTGTGACAATTGAAGATGATGACTTACTGAATATCTTCAATAAACAAGTAAACCATAGATTATACAGTTGAAATAAACTATGCACTACAACATATCGAATTGTACACAGAATATATACAAAAACATGAAATACAACAAAGTTGACGACAATGCCATAGAAATATCTGTGAAAATGTTTACAAAAATAACAAACTACTATTAGTAGTATGAAAATGTATACAAAATTAAATTGGGAATTTTTCAAAAAATCAACCATTGATTGTAGAAATAATATTGGCGGCTTGTGAATGAAGAAGGAGAAGAGGAAGTAATTCTTATTCGATGATAAATTAGATGAAATTAAATGACAATAATGTGCATTGTGCAATTTTTTCAATGGATTATAAAATTCAATTGGATAGAGCATTAAACTTTGTGGATGATAAAATGATCTAGGAGATGAAATGAAATAAAACAAAATTTTTTTTAAATTTAATATTAATGCAATGGAAATTAAAACTAAAACGGTGAAATATAAAATATCATCTACAAAATAAATTGCTCAGATTGTGAAAAAACACTACATAGGACAAAGTGGACGGCCTCTTCAGCTTCCTGTACATGAACACCAATTAGCAGTCAAACACCACGATAACGCTTCGCTTATATCAATACACACCGACGAATATGGACACACATTCGTTTGAAACAATGTGGAAATAAACTAGATAGGGAGAGCACAAAGAATACAAGAGAATTTTTAGAAGTTTGGCACTCAGGTCAATCAGCAATCAACAAACACATAGACATTGACACAATTTATCAACCAATCAAAGAAATGATAGGTGATCAAGAAACAGATCAAAAGGGGAATACAATCAAAACAAAGGTGAAAACAACAACAGGTTTAATGTCAGCAGCAACCAATGAAGATCGGGGTTAGCAAAACAAGCTACAGATCAAACGTTGAGAAATTCGAATACTTCAATTTGTCTATCTGAAGTTTGTGCTGATGATGATGTTTACAAGAACAATAAAAGCTTCACAACCGAAATATCCAGCTCAGAGAACGAAACACCACCACGAATTTTCTACACCATCTCAATATGTATATATATATATATATATATATATATATATATATATATATACTTCATAAGGCAAGCAGTGAAATACGACCGAGGAAAGTCATTTGATCGGATGCGATCAATTTGCTTGAATGGCAATGCCGACGTACATGACTGATGTAATATACTGTAAGATCCACTTTGTGAAGGTTTCGTTTGTGAAAATCCCTGTATGTAAACATTTGTAATTTGTCCTTATTCATTCTTTCAGTTGTACATTTTGTGTAGTCTGTTCAATTCCATTTTGAGATGATAATATTTGCATTTTATTATAGTTTCTACATTTCCTTCTGAACTGCATTTATGTTGTTTAAGCTGATACTTAGTCATGGCGACAGCCATATTGATTTGTTCCTCTTTTGATTGGGTCGGTTTCACTGACTGGAATTGTGCATTTTGATTGTGAATTGGAGCACTCTTCCAGAAAAACAAACACTCTTTGTGTTATAAAGTAACCAAATATTATCTGTCGAACGAATTCGATTTATCAATGAGGGATAGAATATCAGTTATGTGTTTCTGTTGATTTGATTAATTGATCAATTGTTGGTGGAATAACTGAGTGGTAATATTTGTTTAGGTAATGATGTACACAATTATATTTATGTTGAATATTAGAACGGTCATTTACCCAAATCACTTGTTTTGGTTTGAAGCTGGGCAAGGCTAAACTACCTAGACAGTTATTCCTCAGTCCAAACATCAGTTTGGATCCTACAATACTGATAGCATAATGCTATTAGACCAATCACTAGAGATACACATCATAAAACCGAGGCTCATCAATTACAGTCATAAATATCAATTTTCACAAAACGACGAAGTCATATCTACAAAATATAGTTTTGGAGGTTTGTGTTTTTACACATTTGAAAAATTCTGCCCCGAAATATTGTAACAGTGCTCACTAGTGACTAGCTTCGTGAGAAAATTCTCGGAGTTCTAGTTGAGAAGACGTGACCAATGGAGTTCAACCCTGTCGAATGTAGGCAGTATCTACCAGAGACAAATGGGTGAGGTCGCGCAAAATCCCTAGATCAATGAGAGTTAGACATTAACACCGTAGGATGCCGGCCCAGTGGTCCAATGGTTAGGCGTTTGCGTACAATACCGAAGGCACTGGGTTCGGATCCTGTGAGGAGCAGGAGTCGTGGATGCGCACTGAGTCAGTCCCATACCAGGACGAAACGGCCGTCCAGTGCTTCCCGGTTTCAATAAAGTTTTGTCATTACTGGATTGCACACTTCAGATATACGAACTACATAATGAAACGCATTGCGTGGGTAGAATCAACTTTATCATTGTAGTATATTTAAAAGTAATAGCGGTGAATTGTAAAAATTATAAGCGACCACCAATTATCAAAATCTGTCAGTATGGTGAAGCAATATCATTGTAGTGAAGGGGAACACAGGTGGGGCAACCGGATTGTATTTAACGAAAATTACAGAGTTACTCAGTAAAATAGGAAAACCATATCGTAAATCGTTAATTTGCAAAATATCAGTCCATCATATCGAACTGGACTGTTCCTGTTGCAAAACATCAATCCATTGTCACTATTCATGCGTTTCATACAAATTCCATTGTGTTCTAACTCTTCCTTTCTTGATCTTCCCCCATCTTCTGCTGCCAGACATTACGTTGAAACTCACGTCATATACTACTTATAAGTAGCTCGCACCACATCATTATAAAAGACTGCAATTGGTCTAATGTTGTTATTTCAACTGAAATATGATTAAACAGATAGAATGTTACTAGCAGTGAAATCCATGGCGTGCAATCCCAACTAATCAGGTCAGCTCATATACCTGTTGCACAAGTGAGCGCGGCTATATGGATAACGCGAACACAATAATAGATTTGAGTGCTGAATGTCGGGATCAACTCTGAGATCCGCTGTGGTTGATCCGATGGATGGATCCTAATATAGGATGAAATGCGCGTTTATGATTAACAATATTATTTACATCATATCAAAGTTTAAACAGTATTGATCAAATTATCTAGAATAGAGTTGAAAAATTAGGACATTTGAAGATATATATAAGTACAATATATGACAAGAACTCCAAATCCTTATTTTATTTTTGTTTATTTGAATAAGACTTACTCATTTGGTTCACTTTCATCAAGTACAATTGAAACTGTTGACACGATATCACATGACTTCATAGCAGATAAATTGTGGTCTTTTTTGATTACATTACTATACAAGTGTAATTCAGAATCTGTACAAAAAAACATCCAATTCAGATGAAAATAATGTTATATCTAGAGTCAGATTTATGACAAAAAAAATTAAACAAAATTGGAGAAAGTAAACATCTCTAACTATCGACCTGTAGTGTTCCAGTAGAGAGATTGGTATACGATTAATAAAGATTCTTCGGTATATCTTTTATTGACAGGCACTGCCACAGAACCTCACGATCAACAGAGTCGAATGCCATTTCTAAGTCGAGAATTACTAACTACTTGTGAGGCGTTTGGACGTGTGTCTTTGTTCTAGGACCTGATTTAAAGTGGAAAGGTGGTCTATACATCCACGTCCAGGTGGAGAACCATTCTGGTATTTTCTAGTCTGCTCTTTACGAGCTTTCGTTAAGAGCCGGAGTATTGTTACGGCCAGTATTTTAGATACTTTATTAGTTAGACTGAGTTCTCTGTGATTGTCACAAGAGGACTTTTTTCCTTTCGTATAAATTGAGACGGTCACCGATTAAGACTAGTCAGATGGAATTACGCCTAGTTCCCAGATTCTACCTAAGATCTCAGTCAATATTACAGCCAAAACTGGTCCACCATCCTTACAAATCTCAGGGGTCAATATATCACGACCCGCTGCCCCCTTCGTTTATACTTCCTATAACTTTTTCCACTTCATAAAGAGTTGGAGAACGAACATCGATTTGACAACCGAAGTTTGGCTGAAGGCCAGTTCAATTGATGCCTGTGTTATGCCCATCGATCCAATCTCCTGAGTTGAGACTGAATAACAGTACCATCTTTCTCAAATAGATTTCTAATACCGGCTTCCTTGATTAGGCGGGACAGTTGTCTACTGTTAACTATCATTACTGCCTTTTCAATCTCTCACGTTTTTACTACCCACCCCTGTTCGCGATCATTGCGTAGGCTTTTTATTAGCCTGAGTCTTAGCTGAATTCGCTCTTCGGCATGTTTGTAGCCAGGTGGGAAGAGTTTTCGAGCATTCATCAGTGCGGTGGATGCTACTGAAGTCAACCGCTTCTACCTAAGTAGTACGGTTAACTATAATTTTGAAAATGGTTAGTGGGCTATCTCCATAGGACAGTCAACATTGGGAGTGATTTAGTATACTACTTTTAATAAGTTCAATAACATTATATTGACATTCGTATACGTGACATTGACTAGTATTTCAAACGATTAGAGAAATTGAGGCAATGAATTATTTAATCAAGACCTAAACTACTTAAGTAGATAGTTCAGTAGTTAATCTAGTTGAAAACAATGCATCAATGGTTTTCAAATACATTATACGTAGATGGAAAAAAATACATTCATATGAAAGAAAGCAGTAGATTGAACAAACTTTTTGAACGTAACGGTATACCCAGTGAAGGATCCATCCAATTGTCTGTATTCGGTGTAAACATTTGTGCAAATAAATTTCGTGGAATTCGTCCCATTTTACTGGTAGAGAATTGAAGTAATGCATCTAACAGCCAAAAACAATCTTTATTCATAGAGAGAGGGAAAAAAATAATAATAAAAAGTTCTTTTTTTAAAAAAAAAATAAGATTAGAACATTGAAGATATTTTTTTAAGTAACGAAGAAGGAAACATGTAAAGCTGCATGCTTTGCGGAGTACTTTTGTGGTGCGCGCTACTTATAAGCAGTAGTATATGACGCGAGTGTAAACGTAATGTCTGGTGGCAGCAGAAGATGGGGGAACATCAAGAAAGGAAGAGTGGGAACACAGTGGGAATTTGTATGAAATAGCATGAATAGTGAAATGTCAGACAATGGATTGATGATGGATTGAAGATTTGCAAATTAACGGTTACGATATGGTTTTCCTATTTTACTGAGTAACTCTGTAATTTTCGTTAAATACAATTCGGTTGCCGTCACCTGTGTTCTCCTTCACTACACTTTGATGTAAGCTTTTGTTTGAAGACATTTTCGTATAGTATAGTATAAAACTGTAAGCTATCATTGAATTCACTCCTCATAAGTGTATGTTTTAAGCGCATGGTAAATGATAGTTAGTTCATGGTATAACTGTTGTACAGTTATGTATCATAAATGTCGATCTTAGCGTGTTCTGCTAGAGCTCGATAATTAGCTCGGCTAGACAATCGTTACCATAACTAGCGTCTGACGATTTATAAATCAGAAGGTGAACTCGTAGTGTTGAATACGTTTATTTTTGGACACACCACAAAGCGAAGCGGAGAAGCAGTGAATAAAACGAATGAAGCGAAGTGAATCGGAGAAGGCTGTTGAGTCAACTCTCAGGATTACAATGTGAACGAATGAAGCGAATGAACAGACGAAGCGCGTTGGAGAAGGCTATTGAGCAAACTCAAAGAGATAGAGCGTGACTAAGAATATATAGTCAGACAAATATAAGACAGACATGTGACAAGCGAATAAAAACGACGAATAGTTGGCAAAGTCAAATGACAAGTGGGACACGTCATGTGAGCTCATACAAACCAGACAATAACAAGAACGAATGGTACTACATATAAATTGTCGCAATACAAATGGCTTGGTTAAATAAATTAACCAAGTTACATGTAAGAGAACTGGAATATATGTGGAGGCACTATATAATCAATCATCCAGCGCGAACTGATTCGATATAGCTATGATGATACAAGTTTATGTAGAACATATAAAATATGGATAGCAGTGAAATGAACGATACACTTTTATTCCTGTTTGAAACTTGTCAATTGGATGTACTTGCGCCACAAAGTTGATGTGTGTATTTCGGGACTGAAATCTATTCACATAAGCTATTGAGTCCAGAGAGCTAATCATTTGTGCAACAGGTATGTGATTTTATTCAATCTGATATAAGTTAGACGATTCTGCTATTGATATGTTTTCCCGAAATTCAGTCTATCTTGCTTGGAATCTGTGCCTCATACGCATACAACCTCAATTATAAAAGACATAACACAATATTTCCTTCGAAGTAACACCATTATTCACCTACATCGAACTAAGCTTAAGGAAAGAAACTGTATTTATGCTGAACGACATTCCTGTACACTTTTAGTCAATGGATTCGCAGATTGCACAAAAAGGTATGTCATAATTGAATCGGATCGCAGAGGACATGAATGGTGTTCTGATTAATAACTTTTAGTCACATTTCTTTACCGCTTATGGTGGTTAAATGTACTATTAAATGACTGTATTTTACTTCACTTGATGTATACTCACTAATTACACCTACACACACACACACACACTTGTTTTCTTCAATATACACACTTCCATTTCATTGATCATGTTAGGATATTCATCCAATATCCTAAGAGAAGTATTGGTCAAATCCTATTGATCGATTTCTATTGGTCAAAATTATGGTCATTTTAACTGTCAAACTCAAATACTTCAATATTGTCTCTTATTGGTCATCCGGACTGTCAATGTCATTTCAAATGTTCTTTCTTATTGGTCGTCCTGACTATCAGTGTCACTTCAAATGTTACTTCCTATTGGCCGTCTTAACTGTCAATGCTACAGAATTCGATGCTGTTTCCTATTCGACCAAAATGTATAAATACGCATTATTTGTAACATTTTATGACCACGATCAGGACCAGGGATCGGTCCCGGATCCCTAGTCCGGGATCCTAATTCTCTTCTGGACTCGGACATCGTATGGGGGTTGGAATAATCGGATTTGTGTAGCATGTCGTGTCGCCGGATCATCGATCCTCGCTGTCGTTTTCCGAATAGGTAAACTCGTAATAGTTCAAGTATATCAAGTTGACGTGCTTAAGTGCAGGCATAACATCATGTGACATGAAAAATTAATTTTTTTTGTTTTAGAAAAAAGTAAAAAATAAACCACCTACTTGAATTTAAATGAGTTGAACTTAAACAATCGGAATCACCATAAATTGATAAACGTCCCATATTGTGAATTACATTTTCAATAGTAGGTGTCCATAGACCAAGTATAGTAGGTGTTGGATCATTTGCGACCAATTGTTTTAAACGTAAATTCAATTCATCAGAATTGACAGGTATTCTGTCAGATTTCAATGATGTTTCCAAATTTGACTTGGAGGACGACAACAACATAGCATTATCATGTTGAATTAATTGACTGCCAATATCAATTAATTTAGCTTGAAATAATGCAGTTCGACCAGTATGATTAGCAATAGTTTGTGTAGGAAATTTTCTTAAACTACTGCCTGAATGATATGTAACTAGAAAGAAACGGGGTTGGGCAATGTTTACATGGTAAAAAAATTTAATGATGTAGTGAGGATAAAAAACTTTGCTCATATGAAAGTTTGATTAAAAAATATTCTGTGAAGTTGTACACATATAATTAACATGACAACTATCATATATTTCGGTTTCAACATTCATACGAACTATCACAACTTATTGAAATAAAGTTTTCAAAGTGAATAACAGAAAAAAGCGGTTGAACGTGAGCGGCATCAGCAATAGTCTTCAGGATAAGATGATATGAGTTGATCAGTATGTGGTTGTGACAGTCGTTATAAGTTAAATAAGTATGGAAAAAACATAGGAGCACTGAACGATCGTTTCGTTTCAGAATGGAACTTGTTGCGAAATATGCATCCATAATCCTGTAGGCCAGAATTGAATCCACGAAAAAACCTAATATTTAGACAACAACTCGTAAAATTCAATGTGCTGATTAATGACTGATTGACAGTTGAACTGTTTCGAGTTCTAATGGACTGTTGTGGTGCGCGCTACTTATAAGTAATATATGACGCGAGTGAAAACGTCATGTCTGGCAGCAGAAGATGGGGGAACATCAAGAAAGGAAGAGTGGGAACACAATGGAATTTGTATGAAACGCATGAAAAGTGAAATGTCAGACAATGGATTGATGTTTTACAAATTAACGGTTTACGATATGGTTTTCCGATTTTACCGATTAACTCTGTAATTTGACATAAATACAATTCGGTTGCCCTCACCTGTGTTCTCCTTCATTACACTGTGACTATTATTAAAGTCAGTGTCAGGTATGTAACAGTGACTCATTAAATACAATAGCAGTTAGATGATAACGTTGTTGGATGTAGGCTTGGTGGTCTTTTAACGATCGTTCGACTTTTAGACCGAAAGCACTGGGTTTGAGTTCAGGGTGCGAAAACGCGGATGCACACTGTTGGGGAAGTTAGATCCACAAAACTCATTTGATTTAGGTCCTAAATTTGGATTTCGCTGTTTCGCGCATGGACTGATCAGTTGACCTTCAGGTTATATTTCCTACCCGGAAAATTCTTGACTGTTAATGGCTGATGTATTAATTTATTACGCTCTCTGAAGGACGTTTCTATGATGTATAAATAAACTCAATTTGTGTGTTTGCTGACCTCATATATTTTGGATGCTTGCAGAATACACTTTCAACGCCATATCAAGACTTCTTTATTTAATTAGTGGGGCCTTGTAACACTCGAATTAGAGTAGCCTATCGTGTCAAAGAATCATTTGTCTTCACTCTCGTTTACCGACTAATGTGAACTCGTAATAGTTTCAAGCATATCAACTGACGAGCATAACACACACCGATGAGCAGACTAATCTTAAAATGAAACGGCTGTCAAGTACTTTCGGATTAAGACGGTGGTCTAACGTAGATTGATTCGTAATTTCAATGAGAGTTCAAGAAGAAAGAATAAAATGAGATGTATGAAATAACACTACACCTGAAAATATAGAAGAAGTAAATGTAAGGATATATCTGCACAACTGAAACCCATTTCGAACAAATAGTTCAATTTAAAAACAATTGATTTACGAATAAAATTCACTGCTCAAAAACAGTTACATGTAACATATATATACTGTTCCTCATAAGGATTGAAGTTACTTTAATTATAGAGAGATTACACTGCAGGCATACGTCGATATATATTCAAATCTCATAGAATGATAACATGAATAATAATACGGAATAAAGGCTATGCTTATATGCGATCAAATAAAATTCTCCCATTTGTTTGGGATTTAATCAATTTTACCGATATACAGCAGACATTATTTGTGCGATTCCAAGAGAGCAATCTATGAATTCACTGTGTGTGATTTAACGTGTTCCGTTGTGTTTCCTTACTAAGTTAATTACTTAATCACTTACACCTGTTACCCCAAATGGACGATAGGCCGCCCAACAGTTTCCTCCAACCAACTCTGTCCTGGGCTTCCCTTTCCACTTCTGACCGATTTCGGTTCATTCTTCTCATATCTTTCTCTATTTCTCCTTGCACTTCCTCTTTTCCTTTTGCCTTGAGGCTTGCAAGTGAGGGCTTGTCTTGTGACGCAGTTAAGTGCTTTTCGTAGTGCGTGTCCTATCCACTTCCACTGCTTCTTCCTGATTTCCTCCTCCACTGGAATATGGTTTGTTTTCTCCCACAGTACGTTGTTGCTGATGGTGTCTGGCCAACGAATCCGAAGTATTTTGCGTAGACAACTGTTAATAAATACTTGTATCTTCTGGATGATGGCTTTCGTAGTTCTCCAGGTTTCCGCTCCATACAGTAGAACTATCTTGACATTTGTATTGCGAATCCTGATTTTGATTTTGGTTGATAGTTGTTTGGAGTTCCAGATATTTTCCAATTGTAGAAATGCAACCCTTGATTTGCCAATCCGCGCCCTCACATCTGCATCGGATCCACCTTTCTCGTCGATGATGCTGCCCAGATATGTAAAGGTGTTACTGTCCTCCAAGTTATCTCCATCAAGAGTGATTTGGTTGGTGCATGTTGTGTTGCATCGGAGAATTTTGCTTTTTCCTTTATGTATGTTGAGACCTACTGCTGCAGAGGTTGCTGCTACACTAATCGTCTTCTCTTGCATTTGTTGTTAAGTGTGAGATAGAAGAGCCAGGTCATCTGCGAAGTCCAGATCGTCCAGCTGCGTCCTAACTGTCCATTTGATACCGTGATTCCCTTCAGATTTCGACGTCTTCATAATCCAATCGATGACCAGGAGAAAGAGAAAGGGTGAGAGTAAGCAACCTTGCCTGACACCAGTCTTCGCCTCAAAAGTGTCTCTTAGATGTCCTTCCTGTACAATTTTGCAGTTGAATCCATCATAAGAATTCCGTATGATGTCAAATATTTTCTCAGGCACACCGTAGTGTCGAAGAAGCCTCCACAGTGTTTTCCTATCCACGCTATCGAATGCTTTTTCGTAGTCGATGAAGTTCACGTAGAGTGGTGAATTCCATTCAATTGATTGTTCCACAATGATCCGTAATCGGATGAGGAACAAGTACCATCAGATTGGAAAGACGGATACCTGATAAAAATACTGAAGAAAGGCGATCTCAGCAAGCGATTCGGTCAATACGCGATAGATCGTTACGAAATCCATCCTGTTGATCTTGAAGTCGGGCGTCTACAAAGTCCTTCATTTTGTTGAAAACTTTGCCAGGTATTGAAAGAAGAGTGATGCCTCTGTAATCTGAAGGGAATCACGGTATCAAATGGACAGTTAGGACGCAGCTGGACGATCTGGACTTCGCAGATGACCTGGCTCTTCTATCTCACACTTAACAACAAATGCAAGAGAAGACGATTAGTGTAGCAGCAACCTCTGCAGCAGTAGGTCTCAACATACATAAAGGAAAAAGCAAAATTCTCCGATGCAACACAACATGCACCAACCAAATCACTCTTGATGGAGATAACTTGGAGGACAGTAACACCTTTACATATCTGGGCAGCATCATCGACGAGAAAGGTGGATCCGATGCAGATGTGAGGGCGCGGATTGGCAAATCAAGGGTTGCATTTCTACAATTGGAAAATATCTGGAACTCCAAACAACTATCAACCAAAATCAAAATCAGGATTCGCAATACAAATGTCAAGATAGTTCTACTGTATGGAGCGGAAACCTGGAGAACTACGAAAGCCATCATCCAGAAGATACAAGTATTTATTAACAGTTGTCTACGCAAAATACTTCGGATTCGTTGGCCAGACACCATCAGCAACAACGTACTGTGGGAGAAAACAAACCATATTCCAGTGGAGGAGGAAATCAGGAAGAAGCAGTGGAAGTGGATAGGACACGCACTACGAAAAGCACTTAACTGCGTCACAAGACAAGCCCTCACTTGCAAGCCTCAAGGCAAAAGGAAAAGAGGAAGTGCAAGGAGAAATAGAGAAAGATATGAGAAGAATGAACCGAAATCGGTCAGAAGTGGAAAGGGAAGCCCAGGACAGAGTTGGTTGGAGGAAACTGTTGGGCGGCCTATGGTCCATTGGGGGTAACAGGTGTAAGTATTTAAGTAATTACGTTGTATATAGTAAATATCTGAACATATATTTCAAGTTTCATGCATAACGATGGCATGATCGTTTATAAAATCACGATACGAAATCAAATGATTCACTTTAAGTGTTTTCACCTAATGTACAACTGGATGGTAGCAACCATTATTAAAATTCATTCTGGTGAATTATGTATGACATGAGAAAAAATGATAAGTTGTGCATACATGTTCAACTGTTTATGAACGACTTTAAATTAGGCTTTAATTAGAAGAGATTTAGGCACAACCGAATTCTTTGATGTTATGACCACATGATTCAATGAGCCAACCTCACGTGAACATCTTGCGGTTAAGTGGCTGCAGATAGTCAAGAGAACATTGTAGATCAACGTTTCGAGCACGTTTGGCGCTCGTTGGCAAAAGCGTTCCTACATAGTTTTTTAAAAAATGTATGTTTGTTGACAACATCAGTAATCTAATTCTATAGTTTCAGATAGTACTCTTATGACGTATAGAGTGTGTTATTAGATTGATCGTTACATATCTAGGGCATTTCTTGGCGTTCGCACACAATACTGAAGGTCCCGGGTTCGAATCCTGCCAGATACAGGAGTCGTGGGTGCACACCGCTGATGAGTCCCATACCAGGACGAAACGGCCGAACAGCGCTCCCAGGTTTCTAATGATGGTCTAACAATGGTTGATTGATGATTTCAAATGCGTAAAAACACAAACCTCCAAAGCTCTGCCTGAAAATAAATTGTTACTCATGCTTCATCAAATCGAGTTGGCCAACTCCGTTTCATTTCACCTATGCTTTCTCGCTTCAAATCACACCAAGTCCGTTTGCGTATTCGATCGCATGAAGTAAATTCTTCCAAATCAAACTGGTATATGACGCCGTTGTACAAAACGGGGTTCCAAACAAGGTTAATATACGGCAATGAAATGGAGAATTTATTGCATTGAGCATATTTAACTGTTCGTCTAAATTGGAGTCAGATATCAGCGAAAATTGTGTTCAAAACATAGAAAATAGAGAATCGACTAAAAGGAAATATGTTTGAACTAGTTACAACATATAAACACACACAGACACACACACACACGATTTTAACGTGTAATTGACGTGTGAAGAACATACCAGTTCGATGTCCAATCACGTAGTCTCCATGGAAAACAGAATCACTAAAACAAATTTTATCAATAAGAAAAAAAAGAAGAAAATAAATGTTAGACTGAAAAATCTCACATTTTAATCCAGTGTAAAATGATACTAATTAGTTATGACAATAATTCAACATAGACAGATCCAATGACAGAGATTCAGATAGACAAAGTAATTCAAGATAGATATACGTTAGAGTGGAAAAGGATAACATCATGAAATGTATTCAAATGGTCGATAGGTACGGAGGGAAGTCATACACAAAACATTTACCCACCACCTTAACTGATGAAGTTTCAATACTTCATCTACTGATCTGCCATCCCTACCAAGCACTCGTTTTCTAACTATAGCATTGCATACTTGGTTTTCACATGTATACTCTAATCTTACCGCCCATATTTCGCAACCATACAGTAAGGCGGAGCGAACTGCTGCGAAGTAGACTCGTTCTTTGGTCAGCAAATGGATATCTTGCCAACGCCATATTTAAAGAAGATTGGTAAAAGCCAATCCAGCTTTCTGTATCCATGCTGAGATTTCGTCAGTCACCAGTCCATCAGCACTGATGAGACTCCCCGGATAAATGAAGCGGTCAACACGCCTAACTACTTCATTTCCCATCACTAGTTCAGAAGCCGTCGCAAGCCTATCGGGAAGCAACATTTTGCATTTCGAGGGGGAAAACCGCATCTCGAACAGGCTTGCATTGTTGCTTCGGGTAGTCAGAAAAGTCTGCACTTTTCAGCGTTTCGCAAGGTAGGTTTTATGGTCGTTCTAGATATCAATGTCATGTACTCCAATGTTGTTTCTCATGGGTTGTCCCGATTGTTTCCTATTGGTCGACTTAATTGTCAATGTCACAGATTTTGATGCTGTTTCGTATTCAACCTAAATGTATAAATACGCATTATCTGTAACGTTTTATGACGAGGACCCGGTCCCGGATCCTTAGTCTCTTCTGGACTCGGACCTCGTACTTTCTGGATGCTTGTAGAATACAGGTTCTACTTCATATCAAATTTTCTTCTTTTACTCAATGGGTGTTAGGACAATCGGATTATAATAGCCTGTTGTGTCGCCGGATCCTCGCTCTCGTTTACTGACTAAGGTGAACTCGTAATAGTTCAAGCATATTAAAATGATGTGTTTACCTTTATGCGTAACAGAAAGGTTTCTGTTTCTTGACCTCGTCTGAACTGCAGACAGTGGGAGCGTAGGCAGAGACAACAAACAAGCAATGGCGAGTGTCGCTATCTTTTCACCACGTCAAGGTAGCAGCTACGATCGGGATAAGGCTCAGTTCATTTAGAAAATATGTACACATAATCTTCAGACATCCATTTACATTAAAGCTTACAGTCAGTCATTTGCAACATAGGACTTTGTACATACATACATCAGTGCTAGTTTCCATACTACATTCGCTCGGAGAAACAATTCTCACTTCAAATCCAACAGTAGTAGAGGTTGTAGGAGTCAGCGCAATAATCGGACAGTTTAGGGTTCGAAGATATTATTCAAGAAGTATAATTCAGTGAAATAAACTTACAAAGGTAATGAGAGATTCAGAAGATTAAAATTAGAGAGAACACAAAGAATGGATGCACTTGCGCCATCAGAAAAAACGAATTTTAGCCATGTTATTCAAAGTCTCTAACTATCGATTACTATCATCCCGCCAGCCCCAATTAGGTAGTCTACACTTATCAACATGACGTAGTTCAGTTGTCAGTGACTTCATGGATTTATACAATCTTTTGGTTTGACCGCTCCTAGCTTTCTTCCAACCTACTCTTACACTACAAAACATATCTCACAATGAACCAAACAGTCTACATTTTGTACAAAAAAGTTAAAATTGGTGTCAATTATCAATAATTAATATGAATAAACTAGGACTAATTGTAATCACAAACAATTCATTCATAATTGAGTAAAATGATAAGTTTCTCACCCGAATTCAATGTCGAACGGTCGAAGTAATTCATTCAATGCAGGTAGGTTAGATCCTCCAGTGTCTGGAGTCCATAAACGTCTAACAAATTCAAGCCAATTAAATTAAAAACAACAAGATTAGAAAACGTTCATAAGTGAATGAATAATGACATGATCACCATCAAAAAATAAAATCAAAGCTCTCATTGTGTAATAAAACAATGAGTTTGGATGATTCTTAAATAGACTAGGCAAGATTTAAGTCACTTTTCTATTCAATGAACTAAACGTCTACATATAACACAATTATTACACAATCGACGTGATGAAACCTACTTGAGGCTTATTCATATGTAATGCAACCAACCACCCCCCCCCCCAAACGGATTACATAATTATTTTACATTTACATGTGTTAAATATTTTGAATTTCCAACTGATTACTATGATCACTTTCTTTCTAATAATCCCTATAATACTTGTATACTAACTAGTAAGGAGTATTGAGGTTAGTAACGAATTGTAAGAGAACTATCTGGCCAACCTTGGATGGTCTATCACAATCGATTAGGTAACATTGTTTCATTGTAAAGCAATCAATAACTAAGAGTTACAAAATATGACTGTACTCTGCATAAACAACTCTCATATTTAGTGGTCAGACAGACAGATACAACGCAGAACTTCGTACATAAGTACATCAGTTTAGGTTGCCATACCACGTCAGCACAGAGACGTAACTGTCAGTTCAAATCCAAGAGTGATAGCGATAGTAGAATTATTAGCAGCGATGGCGAAGATTAGGGAGCAAAGATATCCACTGGCAGGAGAAAAAACTTAGTTTTGAGTTACAGTGTACACTGGCGAGCGAATGAGCGACTGAAGCGAATCGTATGAAGCAGGCGGAGAAGGCTAGTGAGCCAACTCCGTGAGATATAGCGTGACTAAGAATATATTGTTAGACAAATATAAGACAGACATGCGACAAGCGAAATAGGCACACATGAATAAAAACGACGAATAGTTGACAAGGTCAAATGAGAAGTGGGACACGTTATGTGAGCTCTCAAACAAACCAGAAAATAGTAAGAACGAACGGTACTACATATAAATTGTTGTAATACAAATGGCTTGGTTAAATAAATTAATCGAAAGGGCTTAACCAAATTAGAAGTAAGCGAACTGGAATATATATGGAGGCAGGCACTACAACAGTGATCAATCTACAGAGGTCATGTCACCAAATGACTTCAGCTTATGATCTAATAAGTGTAGGATAAGGTTTTCAAAGTTGATGTCATAGTTCAGAGTTCGGTTTTTTCTTAAAAACAAAAATTGAGGAAATTATCACAAACTGAAAGTAGTTATGATGCAATGTGTTAGTTATTCTACAGTTGATGCAACTTAGGTGATCCATAGTTGTGATTTAGAGTGTGTATAAGAAAGAAAGAACAATGTTTAGCCACACTGAACACACTTTTCACAGTGAATTACTTCACAAAATGTACTCGAACACAATCTAACCTGAGAGCATTCCTATTTGCTAGCAAGGTTAAATTCACTTTTCGATTTCACAATATAAATTTCTATTGATTCCAGGAATTTTAGATAACATATATTGCTCATAACTTGATAATGACATGCAGCTTATCTATCACTGTACTTTAAATTTTCAGCCAATTTTTTAAAAGATTCTGATTGGTCCATTCAAGGCCAACTGAATATTTCTTTCTTCCAATCAGGTTTTGTATTTGTTTGAATGACAATTTTAAAATATTGTCAGAATTATAATAATGATATAACTGTGGAGATGTTTACATGATCAAAGATAAATGTTGTCTTTCATAAAATTCCATGCAGGGACCTGAAAAATAGATTTCCTAATTCGGATTGTCTTATCTCAATAAATAAATTTTTATCGTCACAGCCAAAATAAATGGAGCTCTTTTTAAAATGCTCACTACTTGGTTGGAGATTTCTGGTGAGCAAATTATGCATTGTGAAGAGTAACCAGGGTAAGTGAGTAGTTAATAACATTTCCATATTCTATGGAAAATATGCGTGATATGCTGTACAATCAATAAGCGTCAATAATCCAGTTAGGGTTACATAAAACATTCTTTTAACACATTTAAAATCATCAATCAATCATTGTTAGACCATCATTAGAAACCTAGAAGCACTAGACGGCTGATTGGTCCTGGTATGGGACTCATCAGCAGTGCGCATCCACGACTCCTGCACCTAGCAGTAGTCGAGCCCAGGACCATCGGTCTTGTGCACGAACGCCTAACCTCTGCACCACTGCGCCGGCATCCGACGTTGTTAATGTCGAACTCTGTTTGATTTAGGGATTTTGCACGACCTCACCCATTTGTCCTTGGTAGTTACTGCCTACACCCAACAGGGTTGATTTCAAATACGTAAAAACACTAATCTCCATAACTCTAATTGAAAATTTACTTTTAAATAAATGTACATTTAATGAGTAGTAAAAATATTCATAATAACAGTAGTATAAGAAATAACAACAATAACATCAAGATTAACATGATTTCACTAACCTAGTATTTGTGTCATAAAAGCGTAAACTATGCATCACACTAGTATTATACCAATCAGCAAACACAATCAACGATAATCCTCTTTGTGTAACATCGATAAATAATTTATCGACTTCATGTGGAAAGAATTCTTCTTCAGGATCAATTATAAGCAATGTACCTAAAAAAATGAAAACGAATTGAACAATTTGTTTGTTTAAATGAAGTGAAAAAAAAAACGCATTATTCAAGGTCATGTTTCAGTCAGTCAGTCAGATGCAACGTAGAACTTCGTACGTAAGTACATCAGTTCATGTCGCCATACCACATCAGCACAGAGATATAACTGTCAATTCAAATCCAATAGTAGAAAAGGTAGTAAAGGTATTAGAAGTAGTCGGAGAGGTTATGATGAGAAGATATTCAAGAAAAATGATTCAGTGAGAAAAGTTTAGAAAGTCAAAACTAGAGGTGTTGAGGAATCCAGAAGATTAGGGTTTGGGAGAACACAAAGAATAAATGCACCGGCGCGATTGCGAATGATTTTGAGCCATGTCATTCACGGTCTCTAACCATCGATTATTATCATCTCGCGGACCTCAACCGGGTAGTCGACAACTACCGACATGGCTAAATCCACTCGTCAATGACTTCATGAATTTCTGCAATGTTTTGGCTTCGCCGCCCCTAACAAACTTCCAACCTATTCCTACACTACAAAACAAAGCTCGTTGAGGCAGTCGGTGGTTAGGCATACGCAGCACATGTCCCAACCACCTCAACTGATGGAGTCTCACTACTTCATCTATTGACCTGCCATCATTACCTTGTAACCGTTTCCTAATAACAGCATTGTTTACTCGGTTGTCCCACGATATACGAGCGATGCTTCGGAGACACCTATAATCGAAGACAAGCAACCTACGAATAACCTTTACTACTACTGGCTATGTTTCACAGCCATAAAGTAAGACGGAGCGAACTACTGCACAGTACACTCGTCCTTTAGTCAGCAAACGGATATCTCGCCCCTACGCCATAAGTGAAACAGGTTGGCAAAAGCCAATCGAACCTTCTGTATCCGTGCTGAGATTTCGTCCAAGCTCATGTTTAGTTTCTCTTTTCACATTTGAAATCACCAAATGTGTAATTAATGGATGAGATTACGATTTAAGAACAGTTGAAACAATCGATTTATTGACACAACAACCATAACCTTCAATATATATATATGTTACAAATGATTACATAACAAGAAACACATTTGACAGGATAATTAGATTTTTACAATGGACTACTACTAAGACTTACCATAATTAGATGCATTGAAACAATTGAATGTAGAAGTTAATATTTCAATAAAATAATTTTTTCTACGAAGATGTGTATACAAATCAAGAAAATTTGTATGAATATGGTCACCTAACCTAAGAGAAAAGAAAAATTTTTCTTTTCCGGAATTCATCATAGGTTAAAGACAATAAAAATTATAGAACAAAAAAAGATAGCACATTTGGAAAACGAATAACCTTATACTGTGGTGCAAGCTACTTATAAGTAGTGTATGACGTGAGTGTCAACGTAATGTCTGGCAGCAGAAGATGGGGGAAGATCAAGAAAGGAAGAGTTAGAACACAATGGAATTTGTATGAAACGCATGAATAGTGACAATGGATTGTTGATGTTTTGCAACAGGAACAGTCCAGTTCGATATGATGAACTGATATTTTGCAAATGAACGATTTACGATATGGCTTTCCGATTTTACTGAGTAACTCTGTAATTTTCGTTAAATACAATTCGGTTGGCCCATCTGTGTTCTCGTTCATTACAATACTAACTAACTTGTTAGGATATTTTCAGTCAATATCCTAAGAGAATTATTTGTAAGTCTAATTCTATTGGTCAATTCCTATTAGTTGTCCTAACTATCAATATCACATACATTAAATGTTGTTTCCTATTCGACTGAACTGTATAGATATGCATCATCTGTAACGTTTCATGATCCGGATCCTTATCCTTATCTAGACTCGGACCTCGAACTTCGTGGATGTTTGTAGACTACAGGTTCTACTTCATATTAAGTCTCTGTCGTTTACTCAATGGCGGTTCGGGAGGCTCGGATCAGATTAGCCTTTCATGTCGCTGGATCATCGATCCTCGCTCTCGTTTACTGTGAACTTCTAATACTTCCAGCATATCAGTCTGACGTGGTGACGTACATTCGTGGCATAACTGTTATCAAGTGTACATAGTATTTTATAGAATTTACAGATAAGTATTTTGAATGGAATGAAATGGAACAACCACAAAGATCTGGGTACCAAATATCCTGGTACGACTGACAGTACAAAGAGCCTGCTTTTCCTTACCAAATACTCTCACACCATTTGTGTATAGCCATTACCATGGAAGTCCAACTGATTACCTTCTCCATGAAGAAGTGTTGTGCAGGAAATTCAGATAATGAAGAGTATCGACTGGCGTGGCAGGGGAGTTGGAAAATCATAAATCTAAAACCTATAGTGTACAGAGACTCCACGATCCAGTAGGAATCACAGGATTTTGTCACCTAATGTTGCCCAACTGCTATGTGGATTAGGCATGTAAGTCACAAGCTGGGGGAATGGCCCATTAATGAAATCATTTGCTGCGTCTTGCACATCCGGAGAGTCTACAGGCCCATTCGTGGTGCACAAATATTTAGGTGCCCTTTTGTACCAGATGTTTGTGTTTCAAAAAAAGAGATAAATTAATCTGCCTTCACTGAACGTATTGTTACAGTTAAGTAGGATGTATGTCCTTTCTTCATCTTGATATACATATAAAACGATTACTGGATTACTGAATTTCTTCATACACACCATTTGATTCTATCTTTTCGTACTGCATTTCTAATGTACTGCACTTAACGTTATCATCTCTATGGAAAGTGTTTTGACCATGTTTGAATTTGATATACTCGTCAATTGATAATGCTTGAAACTATTGTAGTGAACGAGAACACAGGTGGGGCAACCGAATTGTATTTAACGAAAATTACAGCGTTACTCAGTAAAATTGGAAAACCATATCGTACATCGTTAATTTGCAAAATATCAGTCCATCATATCGAACTCGACTGTTCCTGTTGCAAAACATCAACAATCCATTGTCACTATTCATGCGTTTCATACAAATTCCATTGTGTTCTAACTCTTCCTTTCTTGATCTTCCCCCATCTTCTGCTGCCAGATATTACGTTGACACTCACGTCATACACTACTTATAAGTAGCTCGCACCACACTATTACCAGTTCACCATACTTGGTAAACGAGAGCAAAGACAAATAATGCAGTGACAACGATAGGCTATTCTGATTCGATTGTCCACGGCCCTACTAACAATATCAAAAAGTCTTGATACGGCGTAGAAAGTCTATTCTACCGGCATCCAGAAAAAAATATGAGGTTGAAAAACACACAAATCGAGTTTATTTACACACAATGATAGAAAAGTCCTTGAAGAGCCACAAAAATTGCATACTAAAATAATACATCAACCAATGATGAGAGTCAAGGATTTCCGAGTGTAATGTAATGTAATCTCTCAAGGTCAACCGATCAGCCCATGCGCGAAAACACAAAATTAGGGCGCACTTTCCAAGTGAGGTAGGTCTAGGGATCTAACAACTCCAAAAGAATTCATCTTACCAAGACGATGTGACACTCCAAGTTCGATTTACGCACTTTATATGTCAGTTCGTCAATTAATTGTGACTGAAATGAAGATGTTGCGGAAAAAAAATATGCGCAAAAATAAATTGGAGAAAATTAACCCGAACATAATGCGTGAGACAATGAAACTCTTACCAATCTAAAGGTTCTTTTGATCGAGTCAAATCATCTCGTGGAATAAAACCGGAAGGATAATGAATACTATGAAATTGGTCGAATAAAATTCGTTTACTAAATAAAAAACCGAAGAAAAATGCGTGTGAAAGGTAGGTGATATATAAGTAAAGAAAATTAAATTGACCATGAATAGGGTATTCATTGAGATCAAGAACTGAGATAAGTTAGAAGGAAGGTAGGGGGCGGCCAGACTAAAACATGGCACAAATCCATGAAAACACTGACAAGCGGACTGAGTCATGTTGGTAGATGTAGGCTATCTGGTTGGTGTCCACGAGACGAAAGTCACCAACGGTTAGAGACCTTGAACAACATGGCTCAGAATCGTTTACAATGGCGCAGGTGCATCCACTCTTTGTGTTCTATGAAATTCTAACCTTCTGAATTCCTCATGATCTCTATCTTTCTCCTTCTAAATTTATCTCACTGAATAATACTTTTCGAATCATATCTTCACTCTCTAATCTTCTCCATTACTGCTAATACTTCTACTATAGCTATCACTCTTGGATTCGATCTGACAGTTACTTCTCTGTGCTGACGTGGTATAGCAACCTGAACTGATATACTTATGTACGAAGTTCTGCGTTATATCTGTCTGTCTGATATAAGTTAGAGAAATGCCGAACACTACAAAGTACTGGTTAGCCGTCACGACTTATTAGGAGATTCATCAGGGTAAATCTATGACGAGACTAACTAGTTAAGAGCTTAAGAAGTCACAAGTGAACAGAAACAAACATTTCAGCCTATATCACAAAACACCATCACTGGTCATAGGAATGTCCCAGGATATACGAGTAATGCTTCAAACACATTTTACAATCGAATACTAGTAACATACGAATATGCCTTATTCTATTCTGGTCATGTTTCACGACTTTTTTCCAAGTGATAAAAAAATTAAAAGAAATATCAATCAGTAAACTATCTGAAAATATGTGGTTGGCAGCTCAATGCATTTTTTTTAACATTCAAAAGTAAAACTTACGATCGATGCGGAGTAGGCACAATATTAGCTTTAATTGGTAGTCGTAAATTTGTAGTTAATGATAGATTTCGAATCTGTGCAAATATAAAACAGTAAATGTTAAATCGCATATTATTGACATTTATAATAGGTCGAATACTGTTAAAACGTGAAGAGTATTGGATAGCTGTTTTGACCCATATTAGCAGTCATCAGCGGGGTACAACTATGAATTCATGAAGAATACAACATATTAACGTTATGTCTCACATTAGGCAAATTCGCATCAGGTTAGTTGATTTTCAACATACATATCAACATCTAAATAGAAAAAGGCGCTAAACTCCGAAGACATTATCGAACTACTGGGTTATTTCAAAGGTTTGCAATATAAATGATTTATTTATTTAGATGATGACGTAGAACGTTTTACGTACGTACGAACATCAGTTCAAGTTGCCATAACACATTAGCACAGAGAGAAATGCAACTGTCAATTCAAATCCCATAGTAGTAGAGAGATTAGGGTTCGACGATTTTATTCACGAAGTAGAATCTAGTGAAATAAACTTAGGAAGAAAAAGATAAAGGGGATGAGGATTTCTGAAGGTTAGGATTTAAGAAAACACAAAGAATGAATGCACATGCGCCATTGCAAACGGTTTTGAGTCATGTCATTTAGGGTCGCTAACCATCGATTATTATCATCTCGTGGACCCTGACCAGGTAGCCTACATTTACCAACATGACTCAGTCCACTTGTCAGTGACTTCATGGATTTCTGCCATGTCTTCGTTTGGCTGGCCTTAGCTTTCGTCCAACCTATTCCTACAACACAAAACATAGCTCGACGATGCAGTCAGTAGTTAGGCATACGTAACACATGTGCCAAACACCTCAACTGATGAAGTTTCACTAATTCATCTATTGACCTGTCACCTTTATCGTGTAACCGTTTCCTAATAACAGCATTGTTCAGAGACATCGATGATCGAAGACAAGCAACCTCCCAATCACTAGTTCAGGTGCCGATAAAAGCAAATTCGAAAGCAACATTTTGCATTTCGATGGGTAGAATCGCATCCTGCACATGCATGGATTGTTGCTCAGTACAGTCAGAAGACTCTGCATTTTCACCTAGTAGAACTATGTTATCAGCATAATCCAAGTCAACCAATGAATCTTCTAATAGGTGTACTCCAGAAAATTCTTTCAATAATACGCATTTCATTATCAGTCCATAGAACAATTACTTTCACCTGTATGATTTGTCAATCAACAAATATAAGTGCTTGGTTAATAGAAAACACAGTACATCACTCATTAAGACAAGAAATCATGAAATTCAAAGATATGTGAACTCCACTTATTTTCAAATATTATGAATAAATTCATATCAATCAAGTGAACAGATGACTTACATTATCATAGGATTCTACAACTAAACTGAGATAACCTTGAGCAATACCAGAAAAATGTGACGATGCTATACCACCGTCGTGCATGGAATCCGATGTTACACTAAGATGTACAGCTATATATCCAACCCATGGCCAAAGATATTCAGAATAAGATACAGCAACATGTAGACGGTGTCCATGATGATGAATATATGGATGATAAATAGGCGGTTGTATGATACGACCAATAACATTCATTGAATTTAAAATTGTTATCTTTGTATGTGAATGATCAAAAAAAGAGAGAATGAAATGATACAACATCGAATTGCTCATAGAAGGTATCGAGCATGTTCTGCATGATTCAATATGTTTCACAGAGACGAGAATACACTTATCCCGTCAACAGTGACCGAGTAAAGGAGAATATATATATATGTTATGCTCGTCACTTGATATGCTTGAAACTACCACAAGTTCACCTTAGTCGATAAACGAGAACAAGACAGTGAAGCAGTGATACAGTAGGCTATTCTAATCCACTGACCACCGACCCGATGTTAGGATATTCATCCAATATCCTAAGAGAATTATTGGTCAAATCCTATTAGTCGATTTCTATTGGTCAAAATTATGGTCGTTTTAACTGTCAAAGTCAAATACTTCAATGTTGTCTCTTATTGGTCATCCGGACTGTCAATGTCATTTCATATGTTCTTTCTTATTGCTTGTCCTGACTATCAGTCTCACTTCAAATGTTACTTCCTACTGGTCGTCTTAACTGTCAATGTTACAGAATTCGATGCTGTTTCCTGTTCGACGCATTATCTGTAACGTTTTATGACCAGGACTAGGACCAGGACCCGGATCCCTAGTCTGGGATCCTGGTTCTCTTCTGGATTCGGACCTCGTACTTTCGGAATGCTTGTTGAATACAGGTTCTACTTCAAATCATGTCTTCTTATTTTTACTCAATAGGGGAGGGGTTGGGATAATCGGATTTTAGTATGTCGTGTCTCCGGATCCGCGATCCTCGCTGTCGGTTTCCGACTAGGTAAACTCGTAGTAGTTCAAGTATATGAAGTTGATGCGTTTACGTGCAGGCGTAACACCCGACTAACTTGATATGGCGCAGAAAATGCATTCTACAAGCACCCAGCATATACAATGATCTCAAGCACACAAATCACTGTTTATTTATACAACATAGAAACGTCCTTGAGAGAGTTACAAAAATAGCACACACTAAAATAACACAGTAACCAATTAAAGCCAAGGATTTTCCTGGTGGGAAATATGATCTCAAGGAAATTGATCAGCTCATGAATAAAATTCAAGCGAGTTTTAGAAATCTAACGTCCCCAACAATATAATATTTTCCCTGATAGTCACTAGCTGAATCCGAACTATAGAGTGTACACCGGCAAACGATGTGTCTGTAATTGACGAAGACTATCAATATTGTATATTTTGATTTTTTTATAGGTTTCATGCATAGAATTAATTAACTAAGAATGTTCAATGTACGTACTTGTGTGATTTGATAGAAAACATACAAATTATCCCAAAACTTTATACTCAAACAGAATTACATCAATGAAAGTTGCTTCTTTTTATCAATCGATTGATACGATGAAACGTGTGTTAGCGGGATATAGATTGGATTGCGTTGTTGCACGCTGATTGGCTCCTTCATATCGAGCAATCAGCGCTAATCGATACTGAGAGAACATTCTAGAACCTTCTTCTTCTCATGTTAAAACTATAAGTATACTTGTAGTGAATGAGAACACAGGTGGGGGCAACCGAATTGTATTTAACGAAAATTACAGAGTTACTCAGTAAAATCGGAAAACCATATCGTAAATCGTTCATTTGCAAAAGATCAGTTCATCCTATGGAACTGGACTGTTCCTGTTGCCAAACATCAATCCATTGTCACTCTTCATGCGTTTCATACAAATTCCATTGTTTTCTGACTCTTCCTTTCTTGATCTTCCCCCCATATTATGCTACCAGACTTTACGTTGACACTCACGCTATATACTACTTATAAGTAGTTCGCACCACAGCACCACACTCGTCCCCCCTTTTAATAAGCTGTCGTCGCAGTCTTTCTGATCTCCGTACAGCCGTCTTCTTCATCAGTGTTTGTGGCTCGCCCTCTTGGCGCACTTGGAACCACCTTTGGAGTTCACTGGCATTCACGCGTTTCTGTTTGTTTCCTTTCTGGATCGTATACACTGCGCCGCGCCTCTCGGTGACGACGTACGGTCCCTCCCACTTCGGGATCAGTTTACATGACCCTGGCCCTCTTCCTGTGGTATATTTCCGTTCTCTACACTTCACCTGATCTCCCACTTCAAACAATCTCCAGTTCTTTCTCTCCTGTTCTGACTTTTCCATGTCTGATGTTTGTTTCTCTCTCACATTCCTGATTGCTTGTCTCCGCTCTGTTCTCAATCTTGTTGTATTCCATCTCTGTTGTTGCGGCCAGGTTTTATCATGCGTTGGTAGTCTCGGCCGTCTGCCGTACATCAGCTGGAACGGTGACTTCCTGGTTGTTCCCTGTGCCGAGGCACGATGTGCCAGCAAGATTAATGGTAATTCTTTCTCCCAGTCACCCCCTTTAGATGCTAGCCATTCCTTTAGCGTTCGGTTATTCCTTTCCGTTAACCCATTCGTCTGTGGATGATACGGCGTTGTTCGTACTCTCTTGATACCTAACTGCTTTAGACGGGACTTGAACTCATCACTCTCGAAACAGGGACCTTGATCGGTTAATATTATCTTTGGTATCCCATGGTCCGCCACAATGTGCCGCATTACCGCTTCCGTCACCGTCCTTGCACGTTGGTCCGCCATCGGCACGGCATTTACCCATCGTGTGGCATGCTCAGTCATCACCAGCAGGTACTGGTTACCACTTGTCGTCTGCGGGAACGGTCCCAATT